ATTTGCTCACTAGCACTTTATAAGGTATGCTTATTGTGCATTTTTTGTAATATATCATATTGTTATATGAATTAACTTGAATACTGGAAATATCTTCAGATTTCAACTAAATGCAATACAAATAAGAATCTTCTTAGCACGTTTTTATTGTACAATACATGACTGGAACAATTTAAAATCTTCACTTATTTTTTCCAATCAAAACAATATTTTGATACTATATTGATGTCAAATTTCGGAATTTCAGAAAATTGAATGAAATTCTGAAATGAAATATTTTCGGGCTCTTTCGTAAATCGAGCTCTCCCGTTTATTAGTAGATAAAGCTACGGGATTTGAATAAAAAATTCCAGGTTCGATACCCGCCTCGGACAGTCTGGTGTAAAGCAGTAATGATGTCGATTTTCACTTGAAAATATAGATAGCAATATGTTTCCAAGTGAAAAAAGCTCTTAGCCGGCATTGCTGCATCAATAAAAAAAATCATAAATTTTATAAAATTTTTACATTCATAGCTAGGACAATTATTTTTGTTGACATCTATAAAATCAGGTTGTTTAAGAGTTTACCACAACATCTTATAGGACACATTGAGTTATGATTGCTATTAACTATATAAAAAAATTATTAGAAAAAAATTAAAATTCATATCCAAACTTTTTACTTTGTATATATTTGCCAGATTTTACTCGTTAGCAAGCATATGAAACATTCAAAATTATATTTAAATTATTCTATCAATTAGTAGCATGGTTTAATTCTATCATTCATTAAAATTATCATTGTTATCATTGTTTTTACCACTTTTATTTTACAAAATATGGTTTATCAAAACGGAAACTATTAATATATTAATAGTTAATTAATTAAAATATTAATATATTAATAATTAATATATTAAGTAGTTGTTTATATATAAACAACTACAATGTGATTTTTGATTTTTTATTTTCATTGTTATATACTTATATAGTAATCTTTACATCTGACCTGAAATGGCCAATAAGTGAAACTGTAGGAAACAATACTGGAAAAATATGAAATTTTTTGACCATTGTCAGAGATTATGAAAATTGGTAAATTAATAATAATAATTAATTAATTAATTGGTAAATTTTGCCCTGGTATTGTTGTCGTGTAGTTCTCTGGAAAGTAGGATTGGATGATCCTTGAGGCGGCTTTTGTAATTGTCTGAATGTATTCGTATTTTATCGTTTATTGTGTTTGTCATCGTCTTTATGTATTAACAATTCAAATAACAATGTTTAATCTACCATTTTCTGGTATCATCATTATTGTTATTGTTACTTTTCTTTCATTCATTTAAATATCTTAAATATTTTTTGCAAACTATGGTATTTCCAAGCGGAAGCATTATTAACTTCCATTAATCGAAAATGAAAATTTTTATACATCTTTACGTTTTAGAGGTTTCTGAACATTTTGGCATACTTTAGGAAAAATGGTGCGTGTGTGTGCGCGGATACAAATTTTCGTCGACACGATTTCGGGAACACGATTCAACCGATTTCATTGATTCAAAAAACATTCGATTCCTATTAATAAGGAGACGTGCTGATTAGTTTTTGGCATAGACAGGTCTAGCTGTTTCGAAGATACGGGGCAGAAGGTGCCAAAAACGGTAACTCAGTTTTTAAGAGAACGGAGCGTCCGATTTTAATAATTAAAAAAACATTTTACTTGTATTGACAAGATAAGAACGGGTCAAATTTTTGGGAAAGCAGGTCTAGCGGTTTCTGAGATCTAGTATGTAGTTTTACTGTCTACTATATTATATGATCTAGGCATTTTACTTTTTCTTACATAATACATACATTTTTACTTTTTCCTAACATATTACATGTTTTTGTGAACGACAGCAATGTGATTTTAAAATTAATAATTCTAAATGTAATTTTCCAGTGAGTATGAAGTCAATGCATGAAATAATATATCAATTAGATAATAATTGGTGAAATAACCTGAATAATCTTTTATATGATCATATATCATGGAGAGATATCCAGAGATTATCAATTTTTTAATGTATTTAACAAAGCATTTTTTTTATTATTGTCTCTAATAACCTTAGGATTTAAAGATTCCCAACACGTTTTAACTGTAAATACACATCAAACATTTCAGTAACCTCACCATATGCATTAGTAGTTTGTAACATGGTGCGAAATTTATCATTGAATGCTAGACAAAAGATCTCCAATACCAATGAAATAATTCATCAGTATGGATGAAGCATTTCAATTATAGGCCAGTGACTAGCTTATTCATGACACACCGCGCATGTTTTACACTTTGTGAAGGTAAAAAAAATCAGAAAAGAAAAGCACCTGTTATATGTTAAATTTATAACTCCTTGTTTAAGGGGGGCTTTAAAAAAATCGATTTTTTTTATTGCAGAAATTTCTTCCAAAACTAGTCAAAAAAATATATTCCTAAAATTTGAGAAACAAATTCAAATTATTTTCGAAATTACAGAAGAAATAGTGATCAAGCGTCAAGCATGTATACGAGCAAAACGAAAACTTCGACGCGCGATTTTTCGGTTTTGAATTTTTTCGGTTTTGAATTTTTTCGATTCTTCCTAATTGGCGGGAAAGATAGGAGAAAAACTAAACGTCCTATCGAAACGAGACAAAATTCATTATATTTGGGATTAAATTCTATTCTAATTGAACCTAAAAAAAACTAAAAAATAGTTATAATTAACCCACTTTTTAAACAATCTAAAGTGAAATTTTGTATCAAAAAACGTGATTTTTTTTTCAAGCTGTGAAAAATTGGTGAATTTTTCATTTTTGTCTGGATTTTTTAGGTTCAACTAGAATCTATACTATTGAAAATACATATTTGTTTTGATTTTTTGTTTCGGATGGAAATAGTTTTTATTATATATTTTTAACAGCAATCAGAACCTTACATCCTATGAGCTATTGGGTTGAAACTTCTTCTTACTTCGTATTTTTAGATGGTAACCAAATGGTTAATCCATCCATATTTGATGATTTTTGTTATTAGAATTATTCTAATCGGGCTGACTTTTTATTGGTGCAGCAATGCCGGGCAAGGGCTATTTTCACTTGGAAACATATTGCTATCTATATTACCAAGTGAAAATCGTTGTCACTGCTGCCTGACAACAGGCTGCTCGAAGTGGGTATCGAACCCGGGACTTCTGAAATAAGCCCCGTCGCTCTTAACCGCTTACCTACGGGCGAGGGATGGAAATAGTGACCTGCATCTGTTGCATACCCAGCATATTATGTCATATATTCCAATGAAAAAAATCCAGAAGAATGTTGAAATATATAACAATAAATCCTGAAAGTTTCGTTTCAATTAAATATTTATTTCCTTCCCTAAAATTCCTCAAAAAAAGCGATTTTTTGAAGCCACTAAAGCAGGCTCCCCCTTAATTTAATCGTTTTTAAGATCAATAGGAAAATTTATCGATGATAATGATGATTTATTACAATTTATCAGTTATTCAGATAAGTTTAAAAAATTCCAAATTTAAAATTAGACAATTAAGATAACAATTGCATAGTATTATCTTCTCTGCAGTCAAAACAACATTTATAAAAATTTGATCAATTTGAGCTGATCTCTTGTGAAAGATTTTATGATTAATTACTCAAATAAGAATTGTTTACTCCAGAAAATCCGACTTGCTAATGTTATATATTATTTCGACGTTTCAAGCTGTTGGCGCTAAAATTGGAGAAAAGTACGAATTTTTGTGTTTTTGAATGAACGTTTTCTCAAAAACGCCTGAACAGGTTTAAAAAATTTAACAACCATTCCTAAAACTCCATAAGGACTCTCGTTGGTTAGTTTTGCGAGTCCATCAGCTGAGCCGTTTCTTTGGAATTAGCAAAAAAGCGCAAAATCCCATTTTGTCCAAGTTTTAGTAAAAAAATCCTGAACCGATTTTGAAAATTTGTACAAAAAATATCGTTTGGAAATTTGTGCTGATTACTGGCACCAATTAGTTTTCTTAATTAATTGTTGAAAAAAATGTGATTTTGATTAAAAAGAAATTATGATGGTAGAGGTCATGGTCTTAACGAACATCTTTAGATATTTGAACCTAGGAAATAATTGGTTTAATTATTTAATTATAAAAATAAATTAAAGTTTGGAATAATAACTCAAGTTTCTATCTCAAATCTTAATTTCTATTGATTATGTAGATAAGTTTCAGAAATTCTAAATTTGAGATCATTAAGGGTATAAAAGTATTATTTGTTTGTCGTCAGACAGCGTCCATAAAAAATTGTTGAATTTCAGCTGATCTCACGTAAAAATTTATTTTTTAGTCTGATTACAGTTTGCAAGAGTTTTGTTTTGTAATTTTTTCTTTCTTTTTTACAACTTGAACTAAATTATTACGAGCTTTGCTAGATGAATTGAATTAAATTTGCCGTATCACTTTCTACTTAAACGTTAAGTTTGAACTTGATTTGCGCGGTTGCAAGTTAAATACCAATCCTGGCAATAATTACCGTCTGATATGATAATTTTCTTAATTACCTTGTTTATACGTTTATTGTTATAAGTTTCACATATTAATGAGGCACTAATTGTAGTTCTATTACTGATAACACAAAATTATCTAAAATAGATTGCATTTTCTAAGATTAAATATTCCCCAATTATTTTTTAATAGTTCTATTTCTGATATGGTTTTTAATCGCTTCAAATCTTTTATGCACTGTTTTTATTTATCGTTTTTATCGCGTATCGCATATCTATCATGTGTTTTAGCGACCTTTAACTTTTGACTTTGAACTCGAATAAAGATTATAAATAATATTTTATTCAGATATTCTTCTACCTTGCGCAACATACAGTTACTATATGGTTTGTTTCTGCATATTCATAACATACGGTTGCCGCAAGTTCAACATTGAACAATCAGTTTGCAATGAATATATCAATTGGCATTACAATTTTCCAATAGAGTTTGTTATGTTTATAACGTGCATATATGCTATTTCAATAAATGTTTGTTGAATGAAAAGGAAATTTATTGTTGTTTTGGGTGCATTGTTTTGGCACTAGTGATAAAAACTTAAATGAAATTTGTGTGTTTATAATGTGATTTTCTTTAATTAAAAATTATTTAAATTCTCTGGTGTATGTTAAGTTGATCAAAGTAAACATGAAACCTTATCATCGAACATTAGTTAATTATTGATCATAAAATAATATTTGGTGAAATGACCTAAAAATTCAATAACATTTTGCTTAAACAATATTTATCACTACATAAAAAACATGCTATGAATTATTGCGTTGATTAAGTTCCGTACACTTTGCTATATTATTTAATAAATATTTTATTTATTTTAATTGTGATTAAAAACTTTTATCGTGTAATTGCTAAACTTAATTTCGATTATTTTTTGCTAACGCATTTTGCGGAATGGCTGGATTTATAGAAGTTGCCATATGTTTGGCTATTCTTTACTGGCTATTCAACGCAAGGTAACTTAAATTTATAGTTTTATTATATATCAAACATTAATAATATTTATCCAGGATGCTTGTATTGTAAAATAGCGCGTTTAGGCACTGTGGCCTTACAGGCAATGAAAAGTCTGTAAGGCCATTAAAACTCTTTTTGATAGAAATAATGCTAACGATATGAATTTAACATAACTATGTATTAAAATATACTAACTATATATTCTACTATATACTAAATTAGTATTTGTAATGAAAATGGCTCATCTGTAGCTTTTTGATAGGGAATATTTGGGGACAAAATTATATCATATGCTAAATGTTACAAACTTTAGAGAGCAAACTATATTTTCACTGAGAATTTGCACCTGGTTTGAATTATTTTCTTGACTACTGAAATATGATAACCTATACTATTATATTTTTTTGGTTGGATTTTTGGATTTGGATTTAATGATAATTAAATTATTAATTAAAGTGCAATAGTTCATATTTGTATGATATGCTTCAATAGTTTAGTTTTCTTCAATATATGAGTTTCTTCTCGTATAACGAGAAATATTTAAAAAACTAAATTAATTAATATACTCAATTAATAATGCTGGATTTGAGAATAAAAACTAGATAACATTGTATCATGAATGTCATATTAATTACTTTTAATTAATCAATCAATAGTTGATTGATTTAATTGACTAAATCAATCAATAGATAATAGCTTTTGATGTTGCTATCTATGGATAAGTACTTAGAAAAGCATGACATCAACTAAATAAGAAAAAAATTGAAGTATCTTTAATATTCCAGACGTTTTAACCTATGTTACCTACAATAATAGTACGAAAATGTAAAATATTATTTGCACGTAACACTAAACTGTTGCTAATAACTTCTTAAATAGCTTTTTTTAAATACAAAATTGAGAACACAGAATACACGAACCATTTAAGACAAATTCGGTCTATATGTCCAAATAAATTCTGCAAGACACTACCCGAATTTGATAGAGCTTTAAAATAATTCCCTTCTTTTTTGCTTAAGAATATTTTCTTGAAAATAATAATTTCCAAAACCATTATTATCCAAACCGATTATCCTATATAGGTTTTACATCAGTTGATACAATTGATTCTTTATTATCGAATATTTTCTCAGAGCGACAGCAATGGTAGGTGTAGTGGCGGAGCGAATGTGGTCTGCTCCTTCTGGGAATGCCAGCATGGAGTGCAATGAATTGCGTTCTGCTGCGGCTTTACGAAATATTTCTGATCAAAAGAGGAAGAGGCGGATGATGGACAAGGATTGCGATTTGAAGATACGCGAAAATCTTTTATACCAGATAAAAGAGCAACCTCCTATACGGTATAGTTTACCTTCGAAGCCTTTAACTGGATTTGCTTGCAAGGATTGTTCCCCTTCTACAGCTGTGAGTAATGAACTCTTCTGTTCTAATACTTCCAATGTTTTTTCTTATTTAATTTTATGCTTTATATTTTTTTTTTTCACAGAAATCACGGGTCGACCCAATACTAAGGCATAGTAAAGTCGTAAGGGATGTTCTTCGTGGTGCTGGTAATGGGGTACCATATAGTACCCAAGGTTCTCACTCATTTTTTGCGACATGGGCACCCCATATAGCTCAAGCTTTAGCTTGCCGAAAATTTCCATATCCACAGGTTTCTGGAATGGTAAGTTATACAGGAAACCTAATAATACATATTATATACAAATACAGCAAAAATTTAAAAATTGAAAGCCAGTTATTTGATGTAACTTTTTTGTTATTTGTAGGTGCTCGGAACAGAGCGATTAAATCGTGCTCTAGATCAAGCGACCTTGGACACTTTACATGAAGAAAAACTTAAGAAAAAGGAACCAACTGATAAAGATAGCAGTTTCGATGCTGATAGCTCATCAGACGATTCTACATTTTCATCAAATTATTTAGATTTCAACAATAAACGAATTAAAGAAATAAGGAGAAAGCATGAGGAACGAGCAAAGCGAATATTGCTTGATATGAGAAGCAAACTTTCTGATATTATGCTTAGGTGCTAATTTGTTATTAGAAATCATTAACAATTGATTGTGCTATCACATGTGCTATATTTTATATGAATGTATTTGAGTTAGTATAACGCAATCTATATTTTAGAGTTACTTCCTGGATGCTATATAAATTACTGCCTTGTTTCTTACGTGGTGTCGCAGCTCACCCAGCACAAATTGATATGCTACGGGATGTTGCCGAATCTGCAAAAGACACACCACTTATTTTCATGCCTCTTCATAGAAGTCATCTTGATTATATTCTTATCAGTTTTATTCTTTTAAATAATAACATTAGATCACCACTTGTGGCTGCTGGCAACAATTTGCGTATACCGTTCTTTGGGTTGGTTTTTCTCAATTTTGTTTACTATGATCTATTGTAGAATACATATTAAATTTACTTTTATTTTATATGTTTTTAGATCATTATTGAGAGGTCTTGGAGCGTTCTACATAAAAAGAAGAATTGATCCAGCAGATGGAAAGAAAGATCATGTTTATCGGTATATTTAATTTTAATTCATTGATTTGTACTACAATGAAATATTTAATACAAGATATAAATATATTAATATTAACAACTGCAATTATATAGAATAATAAATAGAGATTTTGTTGAATAAAAAAAATTATATGTATAATAATTAAATTATTATTATAGAGCTGTATTACATACATATTTGCAAAAGTGTCTTGGTGTCGGACACAATGTTGAGTTCTTCATTGAGGGAGGCAGAACAAGAACTGGAAAACCGTGTATGCCAAAAGGTATTATTGAATGTCACACAATTATATCCTAAATAATATTGGGAAATCAATAATTATTAATTATTCTCAGGTGGTATTTTAAGTGTCATTGTTGATGCTTATCTGGATGGAACAATTCCGGATGCCCTTTTAATTCCAGTCTCAGTGCATTATGAAAGACTGGTCGATGGTAATTTTATTAGTGAACAGCTAGGACGTAGCAAAAGTGCAGAAAGTTTCAGTTCTGCTGTTCGTGCCATTTGGACTACGCTACACAGTGATTATGGAGTAATGCGTATCGATTTTAATGAACCTTTATCAATTAAGGTATGATTATTTCTTTATTAATCAGCCAGTATCACTAAAACAATTATTTAAAAACTTACATAAATCTGTACTGATCATGATGGTGGTTGATTGCATTGGTTTTATAACATATTCAGTGCTTTCATAATAATTTATTTTAACACAGGATCTAATTGAGGCTTTTAGGAGTCGTCAGCAATTAGAACAGCAAAGACAACTGACAGAAATTGGAAGTATTAGCCCTGCTGATAGATGTTTACGTCATGAAACATCTACTACTAGCTTATATGGAACAGATGTTGTTCAGGAAGAAATTAGAACTCTTGTTGATTCTATTGGAAGACACATTGTTTATGGTAATAAAGCAGTAAATGAAATCTCTGATTTATTTACTGATGATTTTATTTTAATTAGTACCATTTTAAACAAATTTTACTATATATTTCTTTTGAATTCCAATATACTTTTGACAATTTTCAAAATTTGTTTTGAATTATGGATTTCTAATGTATATTTTAAAAAATTATCTATTTTTAGATAGTGCAAAAGCAACAGCAGTTATGTCAACGAATGCAGTAGCATTTCTTCTACTAACTCGACATAGAGATGGGTGTTATTTGGAAGAACTAGCTACAGAACTGGACCAGTTGCGTATCGAATTAGAATCAGATTCTAGAAATTTAGGGTTTTCTGGACAATCAATCGATGTTCTTGATTATGCTGTGAGTATCTGATAGTAATGTATATACAATATATAAACTATATATCAAGAAAATAATTAACGTAATTTATACAGGTGAGTTTACTAGGTTCAGATTTGATAGAAAAGAGAATAAAAAATGATAAGGTCTATGTTAAACCAGTAACTGCCCTTCCAAATGTTATAGAACTATCATATTATTCAAATAGCCTTACTCCATTCTATGCACTGAAATCAGTTGTTGGTAAGTGAAGATATATTTTAATTTAAATAGATTTATAGTGATTCTTACATATCTATATTTGTCAGAAATTTTATTAATTTGCAATATATAGCGGTGCAGATATTATTAATAGATTGTAAGAGCTATAAAAATGTAGTACATTTTAACAAAAACATCATTAGTTATTAAAATATTCTCGAAAGCTACTACAAAATAATATTGGTACTACACAATCAAACTTAATATTATATTTTTTTAATACTGAGGATACAAGTAGATAAATAACAGTGTATAATTATTTGAGACAAATATCAATACTTATTATTTTCGGTCTTACATTTTAAATTCACTTCAATGTTTGTCTAGTAACTTGTATGGAGTATCTTCAAAATCATAACAATGGGCTAGTGATGCAGCATGATCTCATAAATATTTCATTGGAACTTTGTGATATGCTGCGATATGAGTTTATTCTTAGTAAGCCGTGCCAAAACTTGGAGAGGTTACTTCTTGATACTATTGATAACTTATGTGGCAGCGATATTTTGATTGTTCCACAGGTAATACTTAATTGCACTCATGTTATTTTTTAATATATATATATATATATATATATATATATATATATATATATATCTTCTTAATAGTTGTTTCAAAGTTGATGTACGATATTCATTTTTAAGTTGCCGATATAAAAATAATAAACAGTATAAATTTTTATTAGAGTAGTTTTGACACTAGATGTGTGTCATCATTTAGGAAAAAACTTCAAAATATAAGATTTAATTAAATATGGAGCCATTATCATACTGTTTTGTATTTGTACATTTGTGCTTTATTTTTTTGGTTCTGTGTCCAAAACTTTATAACAAAGTATTAATGTTATTGATTTGCAAATGACTTGTTTTCCTTTCACGGACATATACAGTTATTATAATCATGTTTCTTGACGAATTGTTTTAAGAAAGTTAAGTAAATAATTGAATTTAAAATATTATTTTAAAATATTTTAGCCTAGGATTTTTAATACAAAGACATGCAATTATTTAAATTATTTGTTCAGCTTGAGTTTTAAGTAGTAAAGTCTGTCATAGCTTGAAGCACAAATACAAATTTTATAAATGTACGATTTATCAATGTGTGATATATACTAAATTTGACTTTGACTACTAATCAACTCTTAAATATAATCATAATAATGATGTATCAATTTCACTTCCTTCTTTATGTGATTATAGCTTATTTTTAACATTGATTTTTATAATGTGATCTCTTTTGTGCAGAAATTTTATACAGATGATGAGAAGTGGAGTAGAAGGTGTGCAGCTACTTTAGATATCTGTGATAATTCAGATGATGATTCATATAATGGATATGAAGGAGGAGATGCTAGTTCTCATGAGATAAAAGTGGGCACAAGTGCACAAGCTTTGCAATCCAGGTGAATTTTAAAGTTTTTTTTTTTTTTTTAATGGTTTATACAAATATAATACAAACGGAGTAATAAACTTCTATTTATTTAAATATTTGTTAAATGATTTAGAAGACATTTTTTTCTCCTAGAAATATATTGGAAATTATACTATATAATATACCATGGTTTTACATTTATGGAAATTATACCCCTATACCATGGTTTTACATTTTTAGCTATAGGTTCTACATGGACGTTTTTTTGTATGAAACCACTCAGTGTATGGTAATGCATTAATTCTAAAATAGCACAATTAATAGAGACCATAAATAGTATTTTTAATTTTAGTAATATGTATATGTAAGACAATCTTTACAGAACTCTAAAATTTTACACATATCAAGAAAATAATTTTGAGCATTATATGAAAGCTGAATTGAGTGATTTATTTCAAAATTAAAAATATGTGTTTATTTATATTTCATTTATACTTTGCAGAGCAAGTTTGGTGTCAGTTTTATCTCCGTTGATGAATGCTTATTTATGTACAGCAAAAACTCTAAACAAATTACTGGATGGGCCAGTGGCTGAGGCAGAATTTATCCAACTAACGCTTCAAGAAATTCAGCAACAAATAGAAAATAACTATTGTCAATACGGTTAGTAAATATACATGCCATAATATGTAACATTTATATATATATATATCTATATATATATATATATAACATATATTATAAGCTTGATAAGAAAGCATTGATTCGATGTTATAATGATTTGGATTTTTATTTAAATATCATTTTTACTCTCAAAAAACAACAAAAATCTGATCATTTTTAGAAGATTTCATCATATCTTTTGCATTCTTGAATAACGGAAAGGATCTGATCATTTTTAGGAGAATTGATTATTTTTATTAATGCTCTACTTTACTTTTTATATTTGGACAACAGAGGTAATGCTATTAACTACTAAACAAAAAAGCATCGATCTTTATGAAGTTAATCAATATGAATCTATACATATGATTGATTTTTTTTTAAGATGATATTGAAGATATATCTTAAACTGTTTAAGACCTATTCAATTTAATCTTTTTTTTAACATATTACGCTTTTATTTCAAATTTCTTTAAGCATCTTGTTTTCGAGATCTGTGTATTTTATTTTATATTATTCTTACAGGTGAGAGCGTATCTTCAGATAGTGTACGAAATGCACTGAAACTATTTGCAAAGTGGGGTGTTGTGGAAAACTGTTTTGCAACTGATTCATCTAAGAGAACAAAAATGTTAGCATTAAGCTTACACTGGGATACAATTGATGGTATTCAGACAATAATCGAAAAGTTACAGCGTTATAATGTTCCATTCTCAAAAAAAAATTAGGTATCATATGAGTGTGTAATATAAATTAATAAATAAGATGTATGTAATGTTTTAAGAATATGGTGGCTGTATGAAGTTGAATCAAATTCTATAACGTTATCAAAAATTAGAAAAAAATTGAGAAGATTATAAAATAGAATTTTTTTTTTGTTTTCATAAAGATGACAAATTTGTTTTCCAGATAAGCGTTATCACATTTTTGAAATGATGTCCTCGATGAGTATGAAAATGTTATTATGAGTATGCATGCATGTATGTATGTGCGTATGCCCATGTATTTATGTATGTATGTGTGCATGATATATGTATATATGTTCTTATATATATGCATATATCGTATAAATGTATACAAACAAATATTCAATATAATTGAATTAAATTAAATATACACTATCTTTATACTTTATTACTAAACTTATAAATAAATTTGAATTATAAAACAATGATTAGTTTTTTTTTTTTCATTTTAATTTCTGTATATATGCATTTATAGAAAGTTGCTTGATAATATAAAATAAACAGTAATAACTTTTTTTTGCATTATATGCCTTTTAGTTTAAGTTTTTACCATTACCAAGACTTTATTTTTGAATGAGAAATAGTTGCGCATTCTGTTGGGTCAAGTACAATAACACTTCTATGCGAAGATTGCAACACTCATGATTTTTAGTGTGCATTTATTTCTCATACAGATGACACACATATATAGAAAAAAAATAACGTTAAATTAATTTCTTTCACTTTTGAACTAATTAGGAGAAAGAAATTGAGATTTTTGCCTTACATTTTATAAGGTTACATAAAAAAATTATGCTATTTTAATTCAAATTTACATTCTCGCAAGAGAGGTCTGCTGTTGCTAGAAAATCCGACTTGCTGCAATTTTATGCTTTCACAACGGTTCTAAAAGTCATTCCGAATTGTTTGAAACAAAAATGGACTAGTAGTTTATGGCATTGTGCCTTAAGGCAAATTGCTAGAACGTCCCGAACTGTAACGAAATGTTCGAGGAATATTAAATGTTTTTAAATAGATTATTATAAATACTGTAACATTATCTAATATTTATATAAATTATATAAACTGAATTGCAAAATTAAAATTATTTATTTAAAGTATATAAATGAGCTTTAGAACTTTAGCCAGAATTAAAATTAAAATCTGAATTATTTTTGATACATCATAAATCTTCAATAACTTTTTTTCAAAAAGCAATTGTTTTGTCAACACAAGCAGAATGTTTTCTGAATCATTCAAATTGGTTACTTAGTTCTCTCAAGAACTGCTATTATTTGTTTTTGTACATTTAGCTCTGATACTTTGAAATGACTGGATCGGCCTTTGGTAAAAACTAATCACCACTTCTCTCAATCATTACAAATTAAATGTTTTTTGGATCATTCAAATCGGATACTCCGTTCTCTCAAAAATTCGTTTTCTATTTTCTGCTCTCTTTGCTCCGTATCTCCGTAACGACTGGACCTGCCTTTGCCAAAAACTAATCAGCACCTCTCTCTATCAATAGGAATCAAATGATTTTTGAACCATTCAAATCGATTGATCCCTGGGCCCAAAAACATGGACGAAAAATTGTATTCATACATACATACACACACATCCATTTTTTCTGAGGTATGCCAAATGACTGGACTAATTGTTTTGTCAACACAAGCAGAAATTTTTCTGAATCATTCAAATCGGTTGCTTAGTTCTCACAAGAACTGTCATTTTTGGTACATTGAGCTCTGAATCTTTCAAATGGCTGGACCGGCCTTTGGCAAAAACTAATCACCACTGCTCCCAATCATTACAAATTAAATGTTTTTTTTGGATCATTCAAATCGGATACTTCGTTCTCTCAAAAATTCGATTCCTATTTTCTGCTCTCTTTGCTCCGTATCTCCGTAACGGCTGGACCTGCCTTTTTTTGAATATTGAAAATATTTCGGATTTTAATTTTAATTCTAGCTACAATTTTAAAGCTCACTTATATACTTAAAATAACACTTATAATGATATATTTAAAAACATTTAATATTCTTTGAATATTTTATTACGGTACGAAAAGTTCCAGCAATTTGCCTTAAGGCACGATTCCATACACCATTAATTAATTTATGATTGATTAAAAGTATTCCGAGTGGATTCATTACACATAATTGAAAACGAACGAACGCTTTGACACGGAGTATTTTCTAAAAGTAAATTTTCAGAAATCAACAATTGTTATAACTGAACCAGTTTCCATAAGATTTTAATTAAAACCAAATACTCCAACGTTATACCAAGTAAAATCGTCCGATTTTAATTTTAACAAACGTCAATAAAACTAATAATTTTCTTAAACTTTGATGAATTTTTAAAATTAAACTACTTGTCGTAAGGTCGTAATATTTCAATAAGTTGTATACGACCATGATATATATCATCAAAAAAGTTTCATAAAAATCGGCTCAAATTTTTTTTTCAACAGTTAATTACAAGAAAACTGCTCGGTAGATTTTCACCTAAAACATTCATCAGTATCATTCCCAACTAATATCTTTCGAACAGCTTTTGATTTTTTTAAATCGATTCGGTACTATTAGCTTAAATGTGGACGAAAAGTTTAAAACTTTTTTTCAAATTACAAAGAAACGGCTTGGCAGATCGTCGCACAAAACTGACAAACTATGGTCCTCATCGAGATTTATCAAATGGCTTTTAAATTTGCTTCATTTTTTTCACTTTTCTGCTATTTACAAAGAAACGGCTTGGGTGATCGTCGCGCAAAATGGATAAACGCTAATCCTCATCGAGATACATCGACTGGCTTTTAAATTTTTGCAATCGGTCCAGCCATTTTTGAGAAAACGTCGATTCACGGCAAAAAATCTGTTTACACACACACACACACACATACTTTTTCCAAATTTGGTCTCATTCGATTCAGAATGTCTTGAAACGTCGTGAAAACATAAAATTAGCGAATCGGATTTTTTAATGAATACATAAACTTCTCCTTCGGGAAGTTAATAAAATATGTATGGCGTTAATGAAACTCAATGTGGTTATAGAGTTCATTATCTAAAAACAAGCATACAAAAATACTTTAAAGTTTGAAATTTGGCGCTATCAGGATATACAAGTTCGTTTGTGAGCTATATATAATTACATATATCAAAAGTGTATTTAAATAATGTCAATTTGTCTTCTTGACTAATTGTTAGTGAAAGATTAATTTACATAAATCGCAAAGTTTATGCAATTTATTTGAAGGCATAATGCCACTTACAACTATTAGATTTACATTTTTATGAGATAAATTGGCTGTTTTATTATATCAAATATATTTCAACTAAAATATATTTGATACTTCAGCTAAGAAAAAAATACTACAAAAATACATTTATTCATACACAAATATTTCATGTATATTCCTTCATAAACATAAATATTGTGTGTCAAAAGTTTCAAATATTTAAATTTAATCCGGCATTAAGAATTTTGGAATATCTACTTAAAAGCAATTCATTCTAAAATAGCGTCTAAGTTCTTATCTTAACTAGTAATTTTTAACGTTTTAACACAGATTTTGTTGGCCAAAGAAAATATTCTAAATCCTGATGAAAGCACAACAAACGCTTTGAGAAAGGGTTAACAATTGCTTTCTTAATCCACTCACGTGCCTTTTCGTAAATCCGGCATGTAAGATTTATTGTTCTACAAAAAAGAGCAAAGTACCCACTGAACCGAATATGTCCGAGTATGGATTTGCTACAAATTGAAGATAATCTTATTATGACTTAAAATACTTAAAAAAATTCAAAGAAAATATTATTGTATAGATTCGAAATTTATTTGTAAAAGGGGTTAAAATTGTATGAAAATATGAAAATATTCTCGAAAAAATATTAATTTTTTGTAATATGTTAGATATTTAAATTTATTTTTTTTCCAAATTATTATAAATTATACAGTAATTTCACGTTAATTACATTTTGTATTGCAATTGAGAAGAATGAATTAGTTCTTTCACAATCGATTTTGATTTCTTTTTTAACTTCCTGTAGGGCAGTTATAGTAATGTTCCGAAAATCGAAAATGAAAATTTTTGCATTTATCGACGTTTTGATGGTTTCTGAACATTTTGGCATACCTTAGAAAATATGGATGTGTGTGTGTGTTTTATGTCCGCATTTTTTCGCTCACGTTTTCCGGCGCACGAATCAACCGATTTGAATGGTTAAATAAACATTCGATTCCTATTGATAGGGAGATGTGCTGATTAGTTTTTGGCAAAGGCAGGCCCAGCTATTTCAAAGATACAAGGATAAATGTACAAAAAATGGCAGTTTTTGAGAAAAATAAGCATCCGAATTTAATCATTCAAAAATCTTTTTGTTTGTGTAGACAAACCAATTGCTATTGAAAAAAAAAATTCATTTCATTTTTTTAAATTTTTTTTTGTGTGTCGAAAATAATTCAGATTTCAATTTTAATTCTGGCTAAAGTTTCAAAGTTCGCTTATATACTTTAAATAAATATTTTTGACTATGTAGTTCAGTTTATATAATTCTTATGAATATTAGACAATGTTACAGTATTTATAATAATCTATTTGAAAACATTTAATATTCCTCGAACATTTCGTTACGATACGGAAAGTTCTAGCAATTTGCCTTAAGAGACGATTCCATACACCACTAGTTTTGTTTTGCTCCATTTGGTCGAGGCTTACAAAAAAGTGTGTGGATTTATATATATGTGATAACAATTTTACTTTTGAATGTTCAAAAAAATAATTTGAAAGAATTGAAATAATTGATAGACTATTAAGCTAACTCACCTATTTAATAAATGATAAATTAATAAAGAACATTTTTTGTATATGAATATAATAAGAAAAAATATTCAGTACTTTTTATACAGCATTTTAAAATAAAATAAGTTATTTGGCGTACCCTATAGTTTTTGAAATTGCTGCAGCCGTTTTT